CACTTATATATATATATATATATATATATATATATATATATATATATACACACACACACACACACACACACACCCACACACATTTTAAATGAACAAAATAAGTTGATGGGTCAGGTGACTATACTACTGCAATACTTGATTCTGTTCTGCTGCATTTCCTTCCTTATAATGAATGTTGTCAATAGCAACGCATTATAACACAGCACACATCCATGTCTCTTGCATCACCGCAGAGGCGCGGACGTGCTCTTTCGTTTCATTCAAATGCAGCTTGCCGTCTTGCGTCTCAGTTTTTGATTGTATTGAAAATGAAATCAGAGGAATTTAGTATTAATACTACTATAATTTTGCTTTAGTGATCATATTGTCCTGACTATTGTTTTGTACACTGTTCATAATGAATTTATAAACTCAATATTTCATGTCCCCGTATTTATATATTATTATAGGTAAACAAAAAAAATGTGTAATAAGTTAACTATGAATATACAATACATTATCCCTTAAATGTCAACCTGATAGTTTGAACGTTCGTTCGTCTTGGCTCAAAGCCACTTGCTGCAAACTTTTCTTCAATTTCAAAGCTTGAAATAATGATTGCCTTGAAAAAATGGATGGACAAAAAAATATATATATTAAAATATCTATATGGCAGTATACAATATGTGGTAGTAAGGATGTAACGGTATGAGAATTTCATATCACGATTATAGTGACCAAAGTTATCACGGTTATCAGTATTATCATGGTTTTTGTTAAAATTTGATTAAAATGTTCAAAAAGAACTAATACACACACTGAAAACATTTCAATAAGTTTTATATTTGAAAATCAACAAACAACAAACGCAATTAGCAGCTGTATGCACTTTTTTTTTGCATAAACATTAAATTAACATTAACATGAAGCCCTAATAATAATAAAGGCGCGGACGTGCTCTTTCGTTTCATTCAAATGCAGCTTGCCGTCTTGCGTCTCAGTTTTTGATTGAAAATGAAATCAGAGGAATTTAGTATTAATACTACTATAATTTTGCTATAGTGATCATATTGTCCTGACGATTGTTTTGTACACTGTTCATAATGGATTTATAAACAACTAAGATTTCAAAACATTAATCTCAATTCAATATTTCATATCCCCGTATTTATATATTATTATAGGTAAACAAAAAAAATGTGTAATAAGTTAACTATGAATATACAATACATTATCCCTTAAATGTCAACCTGATAGTTTGAACGTTCGTTCGTCTTGGCTCAAAGCCACTTGCTGCAAACTTTTCTTCGCGGAAGCTTTGCGTTAATTACAAGTGAGATAAAATATTTAATCTCTAATCAATATTTTTTGTCCAATTATTTGCCCAGTTAGTTTTGGTATTGAGGTAAACGTTACACTTGCATTCGCTATATAACTGGGTGGTGGTCACGAAGATGACTGAGCAAATTTGACACGTTTTCCCCTTTTGCAGCGACTTTCTTCTTGCAAGATCAGCAGACAGTGTGACCGTCCTCGATTAAATTGCCTTCAGGACTCTTGTAAAAGCCAAAATACGACAAGACCACCGATTTGGTCCTCTTAGATGGCTGAAAAATCTCCCGAGCGCTGTCACTGCCTTCCGCCATTTCGTCTCGTGCAAAAAACAACAACAACACTGCATGCTGCTTCTGCGTCAGACTGATGCTGGCTGGACAGGATTTACAGCGAGTTTTCAAAATCGCAATAATCAAACACGGTTTTGATGATAATTAAATTTTAAACGATAATACTAACCGTCAGGGCATTTTATCGTGATTTATCGTAAAACCGGTAATCGTTACATCCCTATGTGGTAGTTTTGCCAGCTAGTCGTCATGAAATCAAAAATGACCCTACTTACTTTTTTAATGCACATTAGTCTTGTGGTGAACAATTGAACAGTGCAAGTCAATACAATGGGGAAAAAAAATTCTGGCTCTGATGACGTCAGTTTGACGGCTTGGGGAGAATCCTCTTATTAAGTCATGACATAAGGACTGCTGTTTCCGGGTCCATGCCTCTACTTATTTCACTTGAGAATACCATCTCAACAGCCATTTATGAGCACTATTTAATTAATATTACATATTTAAGCTAAGCATTTAAAAAATTGCTGTGCACACTACAGTCTCTGTGCTCACGGTGTCTCAGACACTAATATTTTAGCTGAATCACTGTCAGGCATTTTGGTATGGAGATAAAGGTTAGGGTTATAATTTTTTCAATATTACATGACATTGTGAGTGTGTATATGACCAGTTTGTTGTTTTTTTGGGGGCATCTGGCAGAGCGTTAGGACTCAGAAGCAGTGAAGCGTGATGTCAGACGTAACAAGCAGATATTCTTAACCACTCCTATCCATCCTGAATCTGCTATGAGCAAGAGGTGGAGTGGAGGTGCACCACAATAAAACCCCGCCCTTTATTCAATATTCCATTTCACTTGGAAATACATCACAACACTGAAGTCAGTTGCAACTTCTGGTTCACGTGTACTTTGATACTGATATTTTTCAAGGTACTGAAGTTAGAAATTCCTGTATCATGACCACTAATTCACGTACTTTGTCAATAAGATAAAAGTGGGTTTTGTTCAAATGAGCTATTATCCACGTAGATCTTTGATATGAATATTTTTTGGTAATTCATTAAATATCGGCGGCTAAAAAGTAACTAGTACTCCGAGTAGTTTTTGAGAGGAGTACTTTGTACTTTTACTTAAGTACTGATTTGACACCAGTACTTTTTATTTTAATTGAGTATTATTTCAGCAATGTAACAGTACTTGTACTTAAGTACAAATTTTCAGTACTCTTTCCACCACTGTCCAACACACATTATGTAAGCCTATTGTTACACTGTTTGCTTGGGCATTTACCTTTTCCAGCACATAGTTAGACACTGTACTCAGTAGACAATAGATTTTGCCAATATTGTCTGTCTATTTCCCCTATAAAAACGGTGTCTGGTTATACAGTGGACGTTTAGTCTACGGTAAAAATATCTTGATTTAGAAAGCTGCAGTATTCACTGATTCAGTGACACTGCAAACAGCAAAAAGCTGTGCACAGTCATCCATCCATAAAGGATTTACAATAACCAAATATTAACTTACATGAGACTTTTGGTTAAAATTTTTTACTTCATCTTAGCACTGATTTGACACCAGTACTTTTTATTTTAACTGAGTATTATTTCAGCAATGTAACAGTACTTGTACTTAAGTACAAATTTTCAGTACTCTTTCCACCACTGTCCAACACACATTATGTAAGCCTATTGTTACACTGTTTGCTTGGGCATTTACCTTTTCCAGCACATAGTTAGACACTGTACTCAGTAGACAATAGATTTTGCCAATATTGTCTGTCTATTTCCCCTATAAAAACGGTGTCTGGTTATACAGTGGACGTTTAGTCTACGGTAAAAATATCTTGATTTAGAAAGCTGCAGTATTCACTGATTCAGTGACACTGCAAACAGCAAAAAGCTGTGCACAGTCATCCATCCATAAAGGATTTACAATAACCAAATATTAACTTACATGAGACTTTTGGTTAAAATTTTTTACTTCATCTTAGGTTAATAATTGCTTTTGCAGCTCAAAGGTATCTTTTAAGCAACTGTAGAAATGAAGGAGGAGCTAGCTTGAGCTTATTTCAATACAACCTGCTTCAACATTGGCCTGAACTGGAGTGTGTAAGAACAGCTGCATTGGTAGGCAGCTCACTCCCCGCTAAAGCGGAGCATGGGAAGAAAGGGACGGCAGAGAATAACAGGCAGTCTAGCATCTGTCTTTCAGCTTCACGCGGTTTTGTGAGTGCCTCAGAAGGTCTGCAGTGTGTGCCAGGATTGGTGTTTGATGTTCTATTGATACTGCACTCCAGTGTTTTTTTGGGCCCCTGTAAATGCAGTGGCTATAGAAACCGCCGCAGTCACCGTCAGGACTTCACATGAGCGGTCCCTGCCACAGACACCGAGGTCAAAGACATCTGCGCTTCCTCTGTCCCGCTCTTCTTAAATTACTCTGCCCTGCATTTTCTTGTTCTCGCTCTTGTTCTCTAGCGCACAGAGCCTTAAAGGGACAGTCCAGCCAAAAACTGGTCAGCATTTACTCACTCTCGGGTTAGGGTTAGGTTCCGTGGAACTCAAAAAAAGAAGTAGAACTCCAGTAGAATCTCATTCGCATGTTTAAACTTGACATGTCAAGATCAATCATGGAGCAAACAAGAACCAATGATGTTTAACATCACAGGCATGCGTTTGTTTTTTGTACTGCATTTAGTATTTTTACAGTATATATTGTTTACAGTGCATGTTCATTGCTGTTCAAAAGTTCAGGGACAGTGTTTTTTTTTTTTATACATTAATATAGCAAGAATGAATTAAAATGACAAAAAAGACGAAGACATTTATATTGTTAAAAAAGATTTCTATTTGAAACTGTGTTTTTTTCCTGTTTATCAAAGAATCCTGAATATAAATATCATTGTTTTCACCAAATTATTAAGCAGCACATCTGTTTTCAGCATTGATAACAATAAGAAATGTTTCTTGAGCATCAAATCAGCATATTATAATTAATTAGGAAGAATCATGTGTCATTTAAAACGGGAGTAATGATGCTGAAAATTCAGCTTTGCATCACGGAAATAAATTCAATTTTAAAGTATAGTAAAATAAGAACAGTTATTTAGAATTCTTATATTATTTGACAATATTACGGTTTTCTTTTTGATCAAATAAATGCTGCCTCGGTGAGCATAGAAGACTTCTTTCAAAAACCTTAATCTTATGTGACAGTGTATATAGAAGAAAGCAAGTTTTTCTGTGAAGTGTGCCTGTGATTTGCAATACAGACTGGTTGAAACGACCATTGCACTATATTTTTGAAGTGGCTGAAACGACAATAAACCAAATTTGACTTGAAATTTCAGCACTGTAAACTTCTCCTTTTGTGTTCAAAGAACAAAGTCAGTCATACAGGAATGCCATAAGAGTGAGTAAATGACAACACATCACCCACATTACCCAGAATCCTCAGATCTCATCAACAGCCATGGGCAACAAAACCAGACCCTGTCCCAGCTCGCAGATGGTAAAGTGATGGCCATTCAAAAGCAGCCATGTATCTGGTATTTCAAGACACCTTCCTTACAAACACATATGTACTTAAATAACCCGGTGTTCATAGGTTAGGGAAAGCTTTGTATTAAAGTTGGAAATTAAGGTTACAGTTTCAAAGTCCAAGACAGTAACAAGTCTGTTTACAAGAATAAAGCTCTGTTCTTAAACCTTGCGAGCTTCCAGTGTCACATGACCTTTCAGAAATCATTTTAATATGCTGATTTGGTGCTCAAGAAACATTTCTTAATATCAATGTTAAAAACAGTTGTGCTGCTTAATATTTTTGTGGTAACCTTGATGCAAATGGCCTAGAAATCTTTTGTAACATTACAAATTACCATACTGTCACTTTTGATCAATTTAATGCACCCGTGCTTAATGCAAATATCAATTTTAAAAAACAAAATTGAACGGACCCCAAACTTTTGAACTGTAGTGTACTTATGAGTTGCGCACATTTTGCTAAAGTAAAAATACACAGCACGTATAAAATAAAGTGACCCATTTTTGATTAAACCAAATAAATTTCTATTGATACTTTTCAGTCCATCTGCTATCTTGGATTTCACTGACGTCAACTCAATGCAGACATGCAATACTGCCTTAGCATAAAGAAAAAATTGAGGTATTTTATAAGGTAGCTGGCTGATTAGTGTTGCTGTCTACCTTCTGGAACAGTTGATGGAAGCATGCTCACAATGCCTTCAGATGCTGTCAAAGCAAGCAGCCCACTAGGTTTTGGACAGAACTATAGTACAGTCTGTTTTGGTCCAGGAATTAAAGCTTACCTGTAGGAGACGTTGAAGCCAGTGAGATTATATGCCGCGTCACTGAAGAAGTGCAGCAGGGCGAAGCCAGACTGTGCCACCACCTCTGGGACGGTCTCATTGCTGTAGCTCTCAGGAACAATCAAACCACTGAAACATGAAAGAGAAGAACATAGAACACTTGATACCTCTGCTGACAGGGAACCCAACACTTTTAATAGTTTCAGCACTTTCTCATTTAACTGTGTACTTTATTTATAATGGGCTTTTTGAAAACAGTGTTAGGGTTGGATTTTTGTAGATGTTGTGTCAAATATTGTACAAACTATTGGAGTCATTATCCAAGTTCATGCTTCTACTTGCAGGCTCACCTGAGGCCAGTTGCATAAGCTTCTATGTTAAGACCGTGTCTTAAGAACTAGTTTGACCAATTAGCAGTTAGCCAAGGGGTAATCAGTCTTATGTTTTGCTTTCAAATTAGACCATTCTACATTTGTACCATATGTAACGGACTTTAAAAAAAAGACTTAAAGGGTTAGTTCACCCAAAAATGAAAATTAGCTTGTATTTTACTCACCCTCGAGGCGTCCTAGGTGTATATGACTTTCTTCTTTCAGGCGAATCCAGTCAGAGTTATATTAAAAAGTGTCCTGGCTATTCCAAGCTCTATCATTGCAGTCAGCGGGTGTTGCAGTTGAACAGTCCACAAGTCGTCAAATAAAGCTCGCGCATTCATAATAAAACGCGCCGCAGACGGCTCCGGGGGATGAATTAAGGCCCCCTGTAGCGAATCCATGTGTTTTTTTAAAGAAAAATATCCATATTTCAAACGTAATAAACACTATTCTCTCACTTCTGCTGACTGCCATACACCGAAGCAGTTCCGGCGGATGACGCAGCACGCGCGCCTCTGAGATATGCTAGTCTCGCGCGTTTGTTTATAGGAGCAAAGGAAGCAAAGTTTCCAAGTCTCCTCTTGGTTTATATCGAAATCCTCCGACATTTTTCTTTGCAAATCCTCGGTTTGTACTTCTAATTCTTGACCGGCGTTTTGTTTTGTTCTCTCTCCACATTCATCACTAATCACGCAACGCCGCGCGTCTTACGTCATCCGCCGGAACTGCTTCAGTGTATGACAGTCAGTGGAAGTGAGAGAAAAGTGTTTATTACATTTGAAATATGGATATTTTTCTTAAAAAAAACCTCATGGATTCACTACAGGGGGCCTTTATTCATCCCCCGGAGCTGTCTGCGGCATGTTTTATGATGAATGCGCAAGCTTTATTTGACGACTTGTGGACTGTTCAACTGCAACACCCGCTGATTGCAATGATAGAGCTTGGAATAGCCAGGACAATTTTTAATATAACTCCGACTGGATTCGTCTGAAGGAAGAAAGTCATATACACCTAGGATGCTTCGAGCGTAAGTAAAACACAGTCTAATTTTCATTTTTGGGTGAACTAATCCTTTAACAAGACTTAAAGTCTTGAAAGAAAGAAGAAAAAAAAAAATCAGATGACTAATTTTCTCCACTTCAAGAAATACAAATAAATAAATATTTTGGTGTTGGCATTTTCTTTTTATGTTTCTAAAAGTTTTTTGTTTTTTTTGCTCACCATGGATGCATTTATTTGATCAATAATACAGTAAAAATTTAATATTGTGAAATTTAAAATAACAGTTTAAAATAACAATAAAAATTATAATAAGTAACAATTTAAAATGTAATTTAATGCATCCTTGCAGGAAAAGAAAATAATTCCTTCAAAAAAAAATAAAAAGATACATTTAAAAAAGTTTGAAAGAACAGCATTTATTTGAAATAAAAATATTTTATAACATTAAAGATGTCTTTACTGTTACTTTTGATCAATTTAATGGATCTTTGCTGAAAAAATATCAAATAAAATAATTTTTTTTTAAATCACTTACTGACCCCAAACATATATATCAGGGTATTTCCACCAAAGCTCAGTTATATTTCCTAGGTAACGTTCACACTGGCCACTTGTGTTCAAAATCAGCGTCTGATGTGGTGTAAGGAGCTTGAGAGACACAGCGGCCCCTCCGGAAGCTCCCGTATTCTAATCTGATCCTGGATTAACAGGTCTTTACCTGGACTAGGCCTGCCACGATAACAACTTTTTGTTGTGCGATATATTGCCCCAGAAATAATTGCGATAAGCGATATTACTGTCATTTTAAAGACCTTTTTATGCCACTGAATATATAATCATAATGTAACAGCATAATAATGCAAGAAGGCCTACACACTTCCAAATGACAACAAACTTTACATTTTTAAGAATATTTAGATCATGGAAATTAAGTATCAAAATATTAGATACCTTAAAAAACCTGAATAAATAGTAAATAAACATTTTCTAACAAAAAGTGCAAACTAACAAGTAGAAAAAAAGAAAAGTACACAAAGAACTTGTATGGAGATTTTTCCATCTATACATTTTTCCCTGACCTTCTTTTCTCTGTAAATTAAGGGTGCACACTATTGCTGAAAAACACAATCACTACTTAGCAGTCAGATGTCCATATGCACAAAGGCACAGATCCCTAAACAAGACCATATCTGCAGATGAAACTTTTTTTGTAAAAGCATTTTTAAAATTTGAACTAGCACCTCATGACAACACCACGTTACATACGAGAAGCTGCAAAAGACACAGGCGCAAGTGGAATGTACAAAACATGGTGACATTCATTTTTAAGTGAATATAATGGGCGATATATTGCGTCACCAAAAATTATTGAGGTCATGTACATATATTGCACGATAAGTCGATATATTGATTATTGCGACAGGCCTAACCTGGACATCTCACTCTTCCCGTTTAAACCTCACGCACACACACAGAAATAAAGAGAAATGACGAGAATACCTGAAGGCAGCAAGTATAGGAGAGTAGACGGAGTCTCCATCATACACATACAGATGATCCCAGCTGCACTCAGTGGCAAAATGCTCAAAGCGAAGCCTCAGGATTGAGTTTGGCCTGTCAAGAAAACAGCCATCAACAACCATAACCCACACAAATACTAGAGGTCTTCTAAATGACCCAAACCCGACAGGAGCTGACAAATGGTTCAAATACGCAATGAATCAAAATGTGTATTATAGAAATAATTAATAAATAAAGGATTGACATTCATTTAAAACTTTAATTAAATCACATGATATAGCAATTACTTCATTGCATATTAATACTGACAAACATTTAAAAAGCATTATATTACCGTGGCAGAAAACCAAATCAAAAAGCAAAAAAGTGGTGGCCAACATTGCAGAAAATATGAGGCAGGATCACAATCAACAATCTTACCATAATATATATATATATATTAGGGGTGTAACGATACATCGCAGTACGATATTTCGCGATGCAAAAATGTTACGATATGTATCGTAGACTGGTGGCGATACGTTTACGATATGATGGCAGTCTAATCCTATTAGTTGAGCTGCCGACGTGACCTACTCTGCAACAGCGTCGCGTGTGCTTTCCTCGCAGTTGCAGAAATCACTTAAACTGAACATTAGTCGGGCAACATGAGTTTGGCTGAAACTGAAATTGAAGATGCCCCGTCTTATAAGTCCGACGTCTGGCAGCATTTTGGTTTTCCAGTCACGCGACAGGACGACGGTAAAAAAATTACAGACAAAACACAAACTGTTTGTAAACACTGTAAAACAAGGCTGCCATACACGACGTCAAACATTTTCTGTGGTCGAGAATGTTGGATTTCGCGAATTGGTTAGCGTAATGGAGCTCAGAGTATGTAATGTATGTACGTATGTATGTATATATATATATATATATAACAGGGGTAATGGAAGAGTAATCAAGCGTTATTCGAGTGATAAAAGAGTAATCGATTTTGAGTTAAGCCAAAATTTTAAATTTAACATTACTGTTCAGTTCATGTCAGGTTACAAGGTGTTGTTAACAGGCCAGGTTCAGGGTTAACGATCAGACCTCAAATCTGAGAGCGTTTCATTTTTAGGCCAATACTCACTGTCCCTCAATAAGCCACGTGCACTTGGTCTTGTATTTGTAGTTTCCTGGTCCGTCAGAGAGATAACCTGAGGGTCCCGTTAGCCTGTGTATGACAGACACAACATTATTAAACCAATGGAACCACGTTTGCTAACACACGCACATACACCTAAAGAGTATACCTACAGGTTATTATAAAAGACTCAAATAAACCACCTACAGTTTACCAATTATGTAAAGCAAGTTTAACAGCCCTCAGTAAACGTTTAATGGGGGAACTAAATAACAGGCATTTCTCACGTCAAGATCCAAAGGTCAATAGTAAAAACACAAGCACAGTGAGTGCAGCGTAGGACTAGTTTCACAAGTAATGGTGAAAACAGAAACTAACTCAGATTTTCCTGTAATACACTTTTAGAAACTCTTAGGGATAATTCACTCTAAAATGCAAATTCAGTCATCATTTATAAGAAAGTCCCATGGGTTTGGAATGACAAGGTTGAGTAAATGACGATTTTATTTCATGTTATGATTATGAACCAGGGCTGGTACAATATCAGATTTTCATCACACAATTATGGTGGACAAAATGATGCAAAATAATAATTATTATTACTATATATAGAGACATTTTTTAAATTGATAACTTTGAATGATCAGTCAGTCAATTCATGTTTTATTTTTTATTTATTCTTTTTTGGGGGGTGGGGGGCAAACTGTTACCGGTAGCCACTGACTTCCACAATGGGGGAAAAAATACTATTGAAGTCAATAGCTACCGGCTAACTGTTTGGTTCCACACATTCTTCAAAATATCTTCATTTGTGTTGTTCAACAGAAGAAACCCATTCATACAGGTTTGGAACAACCTGTGGATGAGTAAACGGTGACAAAATGTTAATTTATGGTTGAACTATCCCCTTTAACACCCCATCATTTTTTTATGGAACCTAAGAAACTCCCACACTCCCAAAACTTTTTGTGTGGCAGTAGTAGCTACGTGCTGCGTTGTGTGGTGAAGAGGTTTCTAAACCCCTGACTACAGTCTCAAGGAGCTTTGTTAACATTGAAAAACAGTTCATTAACACACCCACAATCCTGTGGGAGCTGCACATACACTCTCCAGCAGACAGCTGTGATAAACACACATAACCGAGACATGGTTCTCGGCGGAGCACAGCAATCTTCCACCCAGCCGATTAGATCATCATTCAACAATGTCCCATTAGAATCACTAACAATTAAAATCACATCATGCATTTCTTCAAATAAAGCATACACATTCAATAATGGGCAAAAGACTGAAGAATAATTGAGCTGTTGTGCTTTTTTCTTGTCAGTTTGGCAGTTGTCTCCATTCAGTCTTTATGATGATATAAGCCAGCCGAGTGAACGTCAGAAATGCCTGTCTGCCATAAGTGATTTCAAACCTGGGTCTACTGAGAATTAGACTTGCTAAGTGCAGACGGAGCTGCTGAGAGATGGAGCACTTAGCGTGAGCTACTGTGAAGCTGCACGCAGCGGTTTAACAGAACAAACCATCATTTGGTGTTCAGCAGAAATGTTGAACGTCCGGTCAGGGCGACATTCTGGGGCAGGAATGGATGTTTCTTGTGCTTGCGGTTGGTGTGGGGAAACAGTCAGGCTTCTGTACTTCAGCAAATGATCCACTAAAGAGAGGCCATTTACTAAAGCATATCCTGTTGCTGATAATTATGAACGGACCAGCAAATTAAGGAACACACACAGCATACAACACACAGCATCATGGCTTTCAGACAGGATACACATCCTCTCTCTGTGATTTCATACACAGGGATAGAATTCCATTTATAGATTCCTATTAATTAGGGATGCACCGATATGAAAATTTTGGTCGATACCGATAACCGATAATCCTTTATTTTTGAAAGCCGATAATCGATATGTTGGCCGATAAATGTATATCCAAATTTTTTATATTCTTTTTGAGAGCCTGATTACAAAAAAGGTCTCATCATTAAAAACCACATCCCGAACACTTCAACATAAGCAGCCTAGTTTGAATGGTGTATGTTTAAAAAATAATTTTACCATTACCAAATTTAGTCATAAAGTCTTACAAATAAAATAATGCATAAATAATGCAAACAAGTCATTGGACATCATTACACGTGTAAAGAATCAAAATGAATGCGCCATAGATCAATAAAACGGAATAGCCTCTGCACGGACAATAATTAAATGATTTTAATTACTAAACCATATTGCTGATGAAAATAATAATAGAAAAATACAAGTGGTTGTTATTATTAATAATGTATCAATGATTTTGAAAAAGTAACAAATTAATACCACTGTTTTAAATAGCAGCCGTTTGAGCTGCGCGTGCTGAAGCTGAAGAGCTGAATGAACACGGTAAACTGAAGCGTTTTGCTGGCAGCTTATTTAACTCAAGGAAATGCATCCTGAGATTAATATTAATACAACATAAACATAATATTACAACTTATATATGTACAAAATGATGCAGTTATTGCGTGCTATAGTCAGAATGTGTGATCCTGTTGTGGATGCGCTCTTCCCATAACAACGCACTGAAACATGGCAACTAAACCCAAAGAATTCACAATGTTTTATTATAATAATGTTCTCATTAGAATGTTATATACACGACATTCCCAATCATAGTTATTAATGTTGTGCACTGCTGTTTGAGCTGCGTGTGCTGAGCTAAAGATGATCACCGGTAAACTGAAGCGCTCTTTTAACTTAACCAAACGCATTCTATATGAGATAAATCAGATATACATCAAATAAACACAATATTACAACGTACAATTGCACAAAAGGCTGCAAACGAACAGCGCGCATCTGAAGTGTCTCTGAAGGAAATAATGCATTATTTATCGGCTTTAAGATATCGGCCACATTTTCTTATTGGGCCGATACCGATAACAGAAAAAATGACCATTTATCGGCCGATACCGATATGGTGGCCGATATATCGTGCATCCCTACTATTAATAGATTCCTATTATATGGAAGAAAAAAAATTCAGTATGTACTAAGTCACAGCTGCTATGTTCTCATTTAGCATGAATATAGATAGCATAAATTAAATTCGGATGTACTACATTCACCACGTTTTTACTGTCATGTGACCTACCAGCGTCTGTTTGTAGCGATGTTTCACCACCATTTATAAATGCTTTCCTATGGCCTCATGGGCCAGTAAAGTGTCCATCGAATGTGCACTTCAGAAGTATTAGGTCATCAGGGTACTTTCCGCCTACTGTTTTTCGAATACTATGAATTCGGACATACTAGTCTGTTTGTGTACTGTTTTTTTTGTATACTATTTTGTAGGAAAGTATCCGATTTTGGACACATTTCGGCGCATGTCTCATTTACAAAGCCTCTCCATATCGAAAGTCACACATCCAACATCAGTTTTATCACGGAATTATTTAGTAATATTTCTATACTACTATAGTATTTATTATTATCATCTTGAAATAGCTTTTGGGTTTATATTTTTTAGTTTTCATCTTAATTTTAAATGAACATTATTTTAATAATGTGCTTTCATCATTTGTATTAGCTTTTTTTTTTTTTTTACATTTCTATTTAGCTTTAATTTTTTTCACATTAGATTTAGTAGTACAACTTAAACTTATTTAAGTTAGTTGCTAAAGCCAACATTCCTAATTTTTGGATATGTTTTTAATCTACTATTTATATTAGCTTTATTTCAGTTACTGAAATGTAGGTTGTCAGCACTGGGTCTGATCGCTGCACAGCATCAATGATTAAACATCACATAAGAACATCAGTCAGATTATGAAAGAACCTGTGAAGAGTGTCAAAATAACAGAATATTATTAATATATTACTCTGATGTGGCCACAACATGGCCCATGTACATTTGCTTCTCAGAAGTCTACACAGAAAAACCGATCTACTAGTGAATCTAGACCGTGTTCCGTAGACTTTATTCCTGGTCATGAGCAGGACAGGAACTGAGCTGAGATGAAATGGCAGAATGTTAGGAACGGTCTCTGCCTCCAGCATTGCCGTGTTAAGAATCATGATTGACACCACATGATCATTTGGCTTCAGTCTGCCGGTCTCTTCTCAGCCATTCGGAGCCTGCTTCACCCCACATGACCCACAGCCTCCAATGTAGCCAGTGTCTCTGCCAGACTTTGCCCATCAGTGAGTCGCATCCCATGATGGAGCATTCATACTCCAATGAAACCATAAAATACTACTATTCTTTTGTCAGCGACATTGATCTTTTCAGCTTTTGGCCACTGTTGAGGAGTTACGAAAACACCAACTAACTCTACCACAGTACCAATATGACTGAAACCGACTCAACAAGTCACTCTAGACAACAGCAATCTCTGTTTGACGACAAGGGTGTGAAGTATTCAGTGATATTCAGCCAAAATATTCAACAATACAACATTTCTGAGAGGAAAAATGTAAGGGCCCAATCGGCTTGTGCAAACCAGTTGTTATTTGGCGCCCACAGGATGCAAACATACAACTATATAAATTACACGACTCTTTTTTTGAGACCTTTCTTGTTACATACCTTCGAAATTAAAGTGATAATTAATGACAATACCTGAAAATGTATCCCCCGTGTGTTTACTAAAATGTTTGAAAAAGCTGTTGAAACCCATGTCTACTTTTAAACGTAAAAAGAATACATACTTCACAGGACCCCCCACTAAAAATTGTATATATAGTCTACATAAAACTTTGAGGGGTTCAAGACTTAATCGGGGGTCTCTGACGAATCAAAATTAGCAGCCTTTTAAAGAGCAGTTTCTGGCGACAAATTATATATTCTCGTTTATATTCATAATTCCCAAAGATGAGCCTTCGTCAACATAACCACACATAACCCGAACTATGACAGAAGTTACAGCGAATTCTTGAAGATCTTCATGTATCAGACGCGCTCGTGTCGATGTCACGAGCATCAGCTGGGAATAAGAGCCGTCTGGGTCTCACCTGAAGCGGCCGCCGCAGTGTTGGCACTGCTCCCCGATCCATCCCGGCTCGCATACACACACGCCGCTGGCGGTGTTACACTGGCCGTTCAAGCATGGTTTATCGCACTCCTTCGCCTCCGTGGCCGCGGGTAGACGGAGCAGTCCGCTGAGGGCTGTGATGAAGAGAAGAGATCGCAGTACAGTGCCGAGAAGGCCTATGCGAGTCAGGCCAAGCGTCAGACACCAGCCCCGGCCGAGGGCCCTCCGAACCTCCGCGGCCATTCGCGCAGATACGGCTGACAGTCGGCGGCGAATCCGCTGCTAGTCACAAGCGGACGACGGGAGACAAAGGATAGCAGTGTCGTCGATGCTGTCGGCGGCCCGTGGGTTCGTTTCGGAGGCAGATTGTTTTATCTTTTCTTCCCGGTCACATCTTCCCGATGCTTATCGCTGCAGTACCGAGACGCATATTGACACCCGGAAATGACGAGATTTCAGCGAGATGCGGAAGTACGCATTGCTTAATAAGGAGCGCGGAACTGAATGTAGTAATTGAGACAAATGACCCAGAGCAAATAAAAAAATACAAAAATAAACATTGAGCATAATATAAAACATTTTAGATAAATAAAATATGATAATAGACACGTGCAATGCAGTTGAAGTGGTCTGTAGGACATACAATTATAAAGCAAGCATAACTCCCTACAAATCTTTCTAGAATTATTATCATATTAAATCGAATGTGATAAGGTTTCTATTCCATTCCACGCATTCGGGAGTATCTATAATTCATTTAGTCTAGAATCTAATCTAACTAGAGCTCAAGAGCGTTCCCTTGTGGTATTCAACTATCACATATACTACACGGGCTAACACATTTTTCACTTAATTGTTTTTATGGCTATTCTGTAATTCTGTGGTGCTAATTATTATTGTACTATTTGTTTTCAATTAGCATCAATATTCTGGTAAACATTTAGGTCAGGTACATTTTAGAACTAGCTGTCATTAATTGTGAAGCATTGGTTTAGTACGGATAAGTTGTTGTACTAATTTGGATGTTTGTTTTTGTTTGTTTTTTTATAAGATCTTTTGCAAGGATGGAAACATTCTAGACGTTTCTGCAACATTCTTTAATATTCTGTAATATTCTAGTGCTTTCTGGAACATTCCAGAACATTCTGGGACTAGTCATAAAAGACAAAAATCATCCAACGTACACTTAAGAGGTTTTGGACGGCTCACTTTTGGTAACTGGTTATGTTAAACTATTGTGCATGTACCATGTAATTTTTATGCATGAATAATAACAGATTAGCTTGTACAAGTTGTCAACATTTTTTGTTTTTATGAGCAGTTAATGACCAGTGTTGGGCTAGTTACTCAAAGAATGTAATATATTACTCATTACTAGGTACTCATTTCAAAAGTAATATTGTTACTTATTACTTTCTGGCAACAGTAATCAGTTACACTACTAGTTACATAACTTTTTCTTCATGCCCCACAGAAGTTGTAACTGTGTATCTTCCACATCCATTTCTAGTGATTGATAATGACATTCAAGTAGAAGTGTTGTATTAATCTCATTAATTGTCATGTGTAGCTTGAAGCTAATTGTCATTTCTCCATTACCCATATACGATTATATTTCATTAAGTTTGTAAGAAACTTTAATTTTCCAAAAAGAGTTTTAATTCTAGTAATATAATGTACCACATGCTGATCAGAGGGATGTGGGTGGGATGTAATGCCAGAGTAAAGTAAAGCCACAACTTACACAACACTGTTCAGATCATCTTTTTTCCTGACAAAATCAATATAATGCAATATTTCTATCTGCTGAATGCAAGTTTTCCATATTCCAAGCTTGCCTGCTGCACTGGGGACATCACATGAATGTGCGAGTCGTGAAAATTATGAAAATAAATCTAGGAATTATTTGATTGTTGGGTTTTAAATCAGCGGGGTTGAGGCATCAAAAGCAAGTTAAAGTTGTTTAGTAAACTAAGTTACTAGTTACTGCCCAACACTGTTAATGACACACAAAAAGTAATATGAGTTTTGTATTCAGCATGTCAAACATCACAAACATTAGAAATAAAAGTGAAACAAAACTTTTATAATTTGTTTCACGGTGCTATAAAATGATTATTGGAAAAGCATGATAACACTATATACACAACATTTACAAGAAATATCTTAGAATTTTTAATTTAAGATTATTTATGTATAGCATGTCTTATACTGCATCCATAAAAAAAAGACTATAATGTGCATTAATTTTAGTTTTTAGTTTTTTTTTAAGACAGCATAAAAAAGACAAAGCACTTTTACAAACATCATAGAATGTTTATTAAATTCTGACTTGTAAGAAGTCACAATATTTCAACACACTCCACTGGATGAAGTGCATTCATATACCTTATTTATACCTCAACCAATCCAACGGATTGATTTTTGTACTCAACATAAATAAAAACAAATAAACATATTTACAAAGACGGCAGGAGACAAGGCTGGGCTAAAGAACATGAACTGGGATTTCAACAGTCACAGGGAAAAACAAAGCATCTGAAAAACACTGGAGAAACTGAATTGTCAGAACCAAATGCTGCATTAACAACAATGAACCAGACACGAATAAAACCGATTTAAATTAAGAGACTGAAAAAGATCATTAGGCAGGGAAAGATCTGGTGGAAGGATTTGCCACAGTGATCTAAACAAACAGAATCAGCACTTGTTGCTCTCTTCACTGGGTCGGAGTCACAGATACAGGTTAAAAGGTGAAGGGTTCATAAGTGGTCCCTGACATGGATTACAGGACGCGGTCCTCTTGATTAAGGGTCAAAGGTCATAATCTCATGTCTGTTCTGCAGCATAAAGGCCCGTTCAGGAAACACACCAGTATTCACATACATACAGAAGCGGCTCCTTAAGGTGCAGAAGCACCCAGTGCTCTTTAACACGACCACAGAGATCAAATCCATCACCAGAGACCATAAAGATCCACTCTTATCGCCATTCTCTCAAACTTTGACAACAATTCTTAGGAAAATTGTCCATAGAAGTTGAAAAAAAAGTCATAAAAAGCAGTTACTATACAGAAAATTCCATCATATACAAAAGAAAATTGAGTCCCTCTAATCAAAATTTGTAAGAAAAAAAAATCACACAATCAGTAATTACCTGATATGTTACAATTAAGGGTGTGTGCTGAATATTTGGTTGAAGTGATTCCTCCAGCTGTATCCTTTCTTATTGTGTAATTAGTCAAAGCACTTCTTATTCAGTGTTTTTTAGGAAAAATGTGTTTTAAAATTATTCGAAATACAGTAAACTACTTTTCTGGGTGCTAATGACATGAAGCATTTTACAGAATAATGTGTAAAGTCTCAGTTCTAAGTCTCATACTGACCATCATCACAAACGTGTCATTCATGTCTTAAAGTCCAGCTTAAAGGCAGTTTGAATATTTCCACATCCGCTCAGTCATATGCAGATTCACGTTCATCAAGTAATGTGCACCTAGGCCACTAACACTGTAACCACGAGTGGCTATAATGCCTCTGAACTTGTGCGTTCAGTCTTGAACGAGCACCTTTAAAGCACACAAAGCCTCTCCTGCTTATTATTGTAGCCTATTTACATTAGAGGAGAAAAATAACTCCTACAACTTTCCGTTCGGACAGGAAAGCACACGTCGCACAACTTCCTGTTTAAGACATGCAGAGTGAACGGCATTCAAAGGCAGGTCATTCATCAGCATTCGTTAGCACTGGAAAAACAACAACTCTCCTCCTACAGCAAGTGTGTGTGTGTGTGTGTGTGGGAGTGTTAAAATGTTTCCGGAACACAGAATCATGGGATTGGTCAACTTTGAGTTGAAAGAAATGCAATGGGGGCTTATTGTAAATCACTGAATGCCCTTGGCACAAACGCCACAGCGTGCAGCTTGTTTTATGGTTACGACGTGTTTGGTTCCAGTTGTAGAGGTTTGTGGAATGATCTGTTGTTTAGTTGGGCTCAGTTTATCTGCACAAAATTGTCTGAATGATGTGTGTTCTAAGAGGTGGTGACTGGTTGTGTTTGTCATCCTGCAGATGAGGCACAGTACGTGTCTGTCTTTGAGTGGGAGTTCTAGTTTGATGAGGATATCTGTCGCGACGGTCGTCCTGCAGATGAAGCGCTGTACGTTCGAGTGCGTTGTCGGATTCTGCAGGGCACCTCCAGCTCCTGGAACAAAGGGGCCTCTGTGATCTCTGACGCCTCTGGCCGCTCCGCGGGCACTCGGGACAGCATACAGTGCACCATCTGAGCCTGAAACACAGACACAATGATTTTAATGTGTGGAATAATACACAATAATATCTCATGTAAAAAAAAAAATATATATATAGAGTTACAGTTATAATATAGTTTAAATATAGGGGGCCTTCGAGTTAAAATATTTGAGAACCACTTGCTTACAGTAGCAGTTTCAATACTGTCTATTTGAACGAATAACCAATGGCAAGACATTTTTTATTCTCAGAACAGAAAATGGTGGGAGAACAAACCTGTACTCTACAGAAAATTGAGCACAACTCTGTAATGTAAGAATATATGAACGCATGTATAATGTATTTATATAAAACGGTATGTACTATACAGATACAGATGATTTAACATTCTAAATTTAGTATTCTAAAACAGGTCTAACAACTGCATTCTGCTGCTGTATGAATGGAAAATATTAGACTGGAGATGTTGATGTTGTAATTGTAACTTGGCACCTATAGGGGGCACCGGAAGTGTTGTTCATCTTTAGGATTTCCCAATTGTAAGGTCACTCCCACTCCACCTCCCACATCCATTGCAAAATACCCAGCAGCATAGGCAAACAAACGCAAACAAACTTACTTCCAGGACATTGGCCTTACAAAAAGCAACAGGAAACTGCAGGGCTCTGACCTCTGTGAGAGTCTGAAAGAAAAACAGTTAGATGTTTATCATTTGGTACAATTTAATAAAATATACTACTCAATTTTTATTCTTTCATTTAATTGAGTGCATTAGCATTCAAAAGCTTAGGGTCAGTAAGATTTTTCTTTTTGGATAGAATTTATCCTAATACTTTTATTCAACAAGGACAAATCAAATTGATCAAAAGTGACAGTAAATACATTTATATTGCTACAAAAATCACAATATTTTTACAGTATTTTTGATCAAATAATTGCAGCCTTGGTACGTTTATAGTAAGAGACTACTTTCAAAAACAAAAATCTTACAGGCCCCAAAAATCTGAACAATGGTCTTACCCTGACTCTCTCCATCTGGGTGCGGAATGGATAGAGAAGCTCAAAAAGAATCAGGCCGAGGGAATATATGTCTACCTTGTGAGAATAAGAATTCCCAGACAGCTACAGAGGGGAAAAGAATAGACGAAAGGGAAAAAATAGTTTTTAAATAAATAGGATTTTTACATTTTACA